ACAATAAATGAAAGATGCATGAAAGTTATTATTTTATAAAATTTGATCATAAAGTCAGTGACAATTAAAGTTACAGGTGAATGTATGGTGTTACCAACACGTTAACACTTACAATCAGTATCAATGATATTAATATCAGTTAATTCAGTATCAAGACTGATCCTGTCACCACTGATTTGAGGTAAAGACATTAGTGTCCAGTTGATAGTCAGTAGTCTATCCCCCCTAACAGTGCCATTATTCAATATTGATACTGATCCACAACCAGGAACATTTGGAATGACATCCATTGAAACAAGGCTATAATCCACATCTACAGTACATGTACAATAATAAATAAATAAAAACCACATACTAATAATGTTACTACATAGACTACCTGAGGTAGCATTTCCTTCAGTAGTGGCTGAAAGTGTCGGACTATCTCCATCAAAGGTTATATTATCATTACTTAATGTTGCACATAATTCAACTGATGAGGAATTGTCATATACTGTTACTGAAGAATTGATTGACACTGATACATCTACATAAATGAAATATTAGCAATAACACTGATACATTAAGACTGATACTAACACTGATACATTAACACTGATACTAACACTGATGTATTAACACTGATACTAACCAGTATTATCCATTATATTGATCTCTATTGTATTATTATTAGGAGACAGCGTAGCTCCAGTTACTGATCCAAATTGAATATTTATTGATCTATTATTCCCAATGATACTATCATTTGTAATAGTTAATGTGATACAAGATACATCAGTGGTGAAACCAATATTTCCTGATGGTGCTAGACCAGAATAATCTAATAATAATTTAGAAAAGTAGATTTTAAAACAATTAAGTGAAGAAGATACAATGTACATGTAATTATCAATTAGCTCACCACTAGTGTTTCCACAAATAGAATAGCTAACATTAACACCAATGACTCCGCCCACTCCATTCAACATCAAACATATCTTAACAGCTGCTCCTTCAGCCACTGATATCATAGAATCATTTAACACTGATACTAGTAACTGAGCTATAGGAGGAAGAGAAAGAATCATGTATAATGTACTGACTAGCCTCTATATAATGGACACTGTGTCTCTGTTATACAGAGGTGTCCTTTATGTGGAGGTTATTTTATACAGTAAGGAATGTAATTGGTACACTAGGTGCTGTCCGTTAAATGGAGGTGTACGCTATAGAGAGTGTCCATTAAGAGAGGCTATACTGTACAGAAAAGACTAAACTTACAAGTTATGGTGATGGTTGATGTGATGGGGTCCATTAGTATCACACTGGGTGTGGACGATGACAGGCTCCACCCAATAGTGACAGACTCCTCCCCCTCAGGGATAGTATCATTAATAA